GTCGCGACGTCTGCCAAAGAAGCGAGCGGCCGATCAGTTGCCATTGAGCTTGGCTTCGTTCCGCCGTGTACGACGCGAATGTGACGACACGCAGTCCCAGCCGGAGGACAGTCAGAGAACTTCGCCTTCTGTCAGTTCGGAAAATGCTGCAGTCACGGCCTTAGTTTCTGCCTGTGCTGCAGCTTTGTACTTTGTAAGGCTCTAAACGCATTATTACCCTTGTCTTATTGGCCAAGCAATGCAAGGGCTACCGTGACAATAAAGTTTTGCAACTCCCGGTGTAGTGAACGAACCGAAAACAGTTTGAAGCGAATTTAATGCTGTGCACTCGAAAAAATTGGAACCCCCCCTGAAAAATTCCTGGATCCGCCCCTGGGTAGGAGTATGAGAGTTGTCTGTAACGAGGAGAAGTTGAAGTGAAACTATTATTCCATGCCCAATTCTCCCATTATACAATGCTATTCCATGTGAATATGGGTGCCGTGTGATGGGGGTTGGGTTGGGGGGGGGGGGGGGGGGGGGTCGGGGGTGCTAGCAGTGCATGGGTGCCAGTTAATTAAAAAAACGTACCTTTCAATTCTGAACCATTTCGAGATCCATCCATCAGCCAACAGATCACTTTGCATATGGAGACCTTGGCAGAACAACCCGCTGCAATAAGAGCAACCACGCCGCCACTGCGGAAAGTACCCCTGAAACAGTAACAGCAGCAGCAGCAACCACACCAGCATTAGCGAATGCAGCAGCACAGCAACAGCAGCAGCAGCTACCGTAGTGGTCTTGCCAGCACAGAAACAGTATAGGTCCTGCCAGTACAAAAACAGTATAGGTCTTGCCAGCACAGCAACAGTAGAGGTCTTGCCAGGACAGCAACAGTACAGGTCTTGCCAGCACAGCAGCTACATTAGTTGGCAGCACATCAATAGCTGCAGTAGCACTACCACCAGTATAGACACACTTGCAGTGGCAGTATCACCAGCAGTAAACGTCACATTCAGAAATGACAGTACATGACCAGCCGTCTTCAAGTTCCCACCAAAACTACCACAGTGTGGTCATGTGACCGGGGATTATTTTCAAACCAGATCCGTGCTATACTAGTTTAAACCCACCCATATATGGAAACAGGAGACGGGCAAGGGAAAGTAACTGACAAAAAGAAATCCTTAGACACAACCTGTACCTTACTAAGATGCAGCTCTGCCATCCAGATTTCTGCCCATCATCTGAGTACTCGCTGACACACACGTAATGGATCACTGTTCAGCACAGCTGACCATGGAGGAAGCAGCAGTAACAGTAGAGACACTGGCAACTGGCACAATATAGACACTGGCAACGCTATCTGCGATAGACACTATGACAGCACATGAACACATGAACACACACACACACACACACACACACACACACACACACACACACGCACACACACACACACACACAACTCAGACCTCAGACATGCCCATCGCGGAAGCGATGATAGCGAACAGCTATGTTAGACATAGCAACTTGTGCTGGGATCACACCATTCAACAGCTTGCAAGGCTGATGAATTGACCGCCATTTGACTAGCCTGGTAACCACCACACAGCTGTTTGAAGCGACTTGTTCTGGCCAGTGAATCCCTATTATCCATTTTTCCATTTTTTTCACACACACACACACACATACAGAAAGAGGCGTGCCTGCTGCAGCAACATCAACAGCAGCCACAGAAACAGCAGAAACAGCAGCAGTAGCAGTAAAGGTAGGAGCCAGAAATAGCAACAGCAACAGCAACAGCAGCAGCAACAACAGGAGCAACAGCAACAACAGGAGCAGCAGCAACAACAGGAGCAGCAGCAACAGCAGCAGCAGCAGCAACAACAGCGAGAGCAACAACAGCAGAAGCAGAAGCAGCAACAACAACAGCAGGAATAAAAGCAACAGCAGCGACAGCAGCAGCAACAACAGCGAGAGCGACAACACCAGAAGCAGAAGCAGCAACAACAGCGACAGCACAACAGCAGCAACAGCAACAGCAGCAAAAAAAGCAACAGCAGCAACCGCAGCAGCAACAACAGCAGAAGCAGAAACAATACCAGCAGCAAAAACAGCGACAGAAACAGCAGCAGCAACAACAGCAGCAGCAACAACAGCAAAAGCAACAGCAGCAAAAGCAGCAGCAACAACAGCAGAAGCAGAAGCAGCAACAACAGCAGCAGCAGCAGCAAAAACAGCGACAGAAACAGCAGCAGCAGCAGCAACAGCAGCAGCAACAACAGCAAAAGTAACAGCAGCAACAGCAGCAGCAACAACAGCGAGAGCAACAACAGCAACAGCAGAAGCAGCAGCAACAGCAACAGCAGCAACATCAACAGCAGCAACAAAAGCAACAGCAGCAACAGCAGCAGCAACAACAGCAGAAGCAGAAGCAGCAACAACAGCAGCAGCAGCAAAAACAGCGACAGAAACAGCAGCAGCAACAACAGCAGCAGCAACAACAGCAAAAGCAACAGCAGCAACAGCAGCAGCAACAACAGCGAGAGCAACAACAGCAGAAGCAGCAACAACAGCAGCAGCAAAAACAGCGACAGAAACAGCAGCAACAGCAGCAGCAGCAACAACAGCAAAAGCAACAGCAGCAACAGCAGCAGCAACAGCAGCAGCAACAACAGCAGAAGCAGCAACAACAGCAGCAACAGCAAAAACAGCGCCAGAAACAGCAGCAGCAACAACAGAAGCAGCAACAACAGCAAAAGTAACAGCAGCAACAGCAGCAGCAACAACAGCGAGAGCAACAACAGCAGAAGCAGAAGTCGCAGCAACATCAACAGCAGCAACAAAAGCAACAGCAGCAACAGCAGCAGCAACAACAGCAGAAGCAGAAGCAGCAACAACACCAGCAGCGACAGAAACAGCAGCAACAACAACAGCAGCAGCAACAACAGCAAAAGCAAAAGCAGCAACAGCAGCAGCAACAACAGCAGAAGCAGCAACAACAGCAGCAGCAAAAACAGCCACAGAAACAGCAGCAGCAGCAACAACAGCAGCAGCAACAACAGCAAAAGTAACAGCAGCAACAGCAGCAGCAACAACAGCGAGAGCAACAACAGCAGAAGCAGAAGCAGCAGCAACAGCAGCAACATAAACAGCAGTAACAAAAGCAACTGCAGCAACAGCAACAGCAACAACAGCAACAGCAACAAGAACAGCAGCAACAGCAGAAGCAGAAGCAACAACAACAACAACAGCAGGAATAAAAGCAACAGCAGCGACAGCAGCAGCAACAACAGCGAGAGCAACAACACCAGAAGCAGAAGCAGCAACAACAGCGACAGCACAACAGCAGCAACAGCAACAGCAGCAAAAAAAGCAACAGCAGCAACCGCAGCAGCAACAACAGCAGAAGCAGAAACAATACCAGCAGCAAAAACAGCGACAGAAACAGCAGCAGCAACAACAGCAGCAGCAACAACAGCAAAAGCAACAGCAGCAAAAGCAGCAGCAACAACAGCAGAAGCAGAAGCAGCAACAACAGCAGCAGCAGCAAAAACAGCGACAGAAACAGCAGCAGCAGCAACAGCAGCAGCAACAACAGCAAAAGTAACAGCAGCAACAGCAGCAGCAACAACAGCGAGAGCAACAACAGCAACAGCAGAAGCAGCAGCAACAGCAACAGCAGCAACATCAACAGCAGCAACAAAAGCAACAGCAGCAACAGCAGCAGCAACAACAGCAGAAGCAGAAGCAGCAACAACAGCAGCAGCAAAAACAGCGACAGAAACAGCAGCAGCAACAACAGCAGCAGCAACAACAGCAAAAGCAACAGCAGCAACAGCAGCAGCAACAACAGCGAGAGCAACAACAGCAGAAGCAGCAACAACAGCAGCAGCAAAAACAGCGACAGAAACAGCAGCAACAGCAGCAGCAGCAACAACAGCAAAAGCAACAGCAGCAACAGCAGCAGCAACAGCAGCAGCAACAACAGCAGAAGCAGCAACAACAGCAGCAACAGCAAAAACAGCGCCAGAAACAGCAGCAGCAGCAACAGAAGCAGCAACAACAGCAAAAGTAACAGCAGCAACAGCAGCAGCAACAACAGCGAGAGCAACAACAGCAGAAGCAGAAGTCGCAGCAACATCAACAGCAGCAACAAAAGCAACAGCAGCAACAGCAGCAGCAACAACAGCAGAAGCAGAAGCAGCAACAACACCAGCAGCGACAGAAACAGCAGCAACAACAACAGCAGCAGCAACAACAGCAAAAGCAACAGCAGCAACAGCAGCAGCAACAACAGCAGAAGCAGAAGCAGCAACAACAGCAGCAGCAAAAACAGCCACAGAAACAGCAGCAGCAACAACAGCAGCAGCAACAACAGCAAAAGTAACAGCAGCAACAGCAGCAGCAACAACAGCGAGAGCAACAACAGCAGAAGCAGAAGCAGCAGCAACAGCAGCAACATAAACAGCAGTAACAAAAGCAACTGCAGCAACAGCAGCAGCAACAACAGCGACAGCAACAACAGCAGAAGCAGAAGCAGCAACAACAGCAACAAAAACAAGAGTAACACACACACACACACACCTGTCCTGTCCTATCGAGCCACTGCCACAATGGTCAAGTGGGTCCGGAGGAGCAGCGGAGAGAGAAGAGGAGAACGCCGTCCCACGGCGTCCAGGACACAACGAGAGGTCACCAGGATTCAGGTCACCTAGGACTGTTACCCCAAGACTGAGGTATGGCCGGGGGAGAACCTGAGCAACGGTGTCTATTCCTGCCCTGGACCGAACGCAAGCAGCGGGTGCAGGACGCACAGTGCGCGCCACAACACCCCTCCACTGCGGCTGCGGCTGGGGACTGAGCCACACACTTGTGACGGGCAAGGCCAACACACACACACACACACACACACACACACACACACACACGAGCAACAGAAGCAACAGCAGCAACAGCAAGAGTAACACACACAAGCAGCAACAGTAGCACAGAAAGCACAGCACAGAAAGACAATGGAGTCAGAAGAAATAACACCACTAGTAGCAATATCAATGGTTTAATAATACTTCAGCGATCACCCACTCGTATACATTTTTATAAGAAGATGTATAAGCACAGTTGATGATACTCTTTGACATACCTTGTAGTAGTCACATCCATCTGCTACACAGCTGCAGAAATAACAGGACGACCGCTCTGCTGTTGAGACGATAACACAAACATATCTGTAGCAGTGCAATGGGAAAATTCGGAAAAAAACGAAAAGCAGCAACATGCAGTTGCATAAATAGCAGCACCAGCAGCAGTAACAATAGTATGTCGCAACACCAGCAGCAACAGTAGCAGCACCAGTAGCAGCAGTAGCAACAGTTGCGGGATCATCACCATCACCAGCAACAGCAGCAGCACCATCACTACTAGGAAAAATGACCGGGTCGAGCACTCGTCTGCAGTACAGTACGGCATCATGGAGTCATACGAGGATACAATCAATCACATCCCTGACAAAAAGTCAGGGAGGGGCGCATGGGAGAGACGGGGTGCTCTGGTGGGATTTTACGGTATATACCGGTATGGTGTGTGTAGTGAAATCCTAGCCGGTACAAATTTCATGACCCTACAGTACTATAAATGTAGGTTTGCAGTAGGGCAAACCGTAGTTATCGCCGTGGACCGAGCAAGCCGGCCACGCGGCGCAGCAACCAGCGGGGCTGTACGCACAGCCGCCCTGGCTGCCCTTTCAGCATGGGGCGATCGCACGCGGGACCAAGGAGGTTGAGGGCACTCTTGTCTCCTGCTTGTTGGCACAGCAGCAACTCTTTGCCCTTGCGCTCTTTGAGGGTTTTTTTCTTGAGCAGCAATTACCTCGTGATATGCACATTTGCCAATGATGTCTATCCGCCTGTCACACGGTTGTGGCAGGCGTTCAAATACAAGCGCCCAAACCCCAAACAGTACTGTGCCTGGATATGTGTGTGGCTCGGGAGATGGGCGATAAACACATATTATCATTCTCTTATTATTGACCCCCACAGAAACTTGTGATCTCTAAGGGCGCGCTCACACTGCGACCATGAGCACGCGTCCATGCGTCAGCAAAACGCAGAAACGTGGCAGTCGTGCTCACACTAGGCCTCGTACACGCGTAGACGTGAACTTGTCACATAAACTTTGTTGTGGTTCGCATTCAGCCCGCACACTACTCATACACAGTTCCACTGATACACACGGATCGGAGAGTTTAGAAATACATTGCATTGAAAGGGAACATGGAAGTAAAGGTAAAACCAGAGAGGAAAGACATGCAGCACAGGAAGCCAAGATGGATCCAAGGAGAAGCACATTACACACATGCGCACACTCTAGATACAGAGAGTGCTGCATAGCAACAGTAACTACGCGCATGGCAACAGTAACTACGCGCATGGTAACAGTAGCTAAGATAATCTGATAATGACGTCACACATAGCATGCATGTAATCTAGGACTGTGACGTTGCACCTAACATGCATGCAATCCATAACAAACTTTACGAATTGCAGTTCGTATCCAAAAGAGTTCGTGCGTTTCCTAATAAAGTTGTGGCCGTTTTGGATGTAATTTTTCGCATGTTGCATGTTGGAGGAAGTGCCTCGTGGCTCATATTCTTGAAGTCGACGAAAATAATTCATACAATCAGGTAGGTTTGGACTCTTGAGGGACTGCCGCTGACATCCAAGCGCTTTCGCTTTCGCTTTCCTGACCTCGTGCGAGTCGTGGTCAGAGCAAGTACCAGTGCAGTGGAAATTCCGGTAGTGGTTTCTTTCGTCTGTTGCCGAGATGAGAACTGTATTTTCCGATGATATGTAACTGAAATGTCTTGAGGTATGGCATTCCATCATCGCGGAAAAGTAGAGAAAGATGATTTCCGAAACCGAAAAGCCAGACCAAGCTGCCATCGTATTGAACGAGTACACTGTAGAAATTGGTCACTGACCCGATCACAACGAAGCAACTACAAAAACAAAAACAAAATCGACATCGTCCAAAAAGGGCAAAGAATGCATATATGGCGGTGCGTGCGTGCAGGACCACAACTACAAAATTTTTAAAATGTGCAAATGTCGAGGTGACATCGACAACCGCCGATTTTCATGAATCAACACACCGGAATTTGAGAAATTGAACATACTTCAGGCCAGGTTGTACACAAATACGCTTCACGTCTACGATCATGTTGCCGCCAAGTCGTGGCACCCCCCTCCGGAGGTCGCGGTCACGATTTGAAACGTGGCCGCGACGTTTTGGTCAAGTTCATGCCGTTGCCATTCAACTTGGCCGCATGGCCGCATGGACGCTGGTTTTGGTCGCAGTGTGAGCGCGCGCCCTTAGGCCTCGGTCACACTACGGCAAAAATGCTGCGTCAGCGTCAGAATCATGAGCTTTTCCATGGCAACTGACGCAACGCGGGAAGTTTGAGCGTCAGACGCTGCTGCGTCTGACGTGGGGAAATCGGCTGCGTTGCCGCTGATGGGAGTGACGCTTGGCGGAAAAACAGTGTCGTTCAAGTAAAATTAGTTTCAAGACACTTTGCTTGAGTTGAGCAGTTATTCGACATTCGTCTGTTCAAGGTTTGTTTTGTTCCCTCTTTTTGTTCGAGATGAGTCCGTGGACCTACGAGGCCGAGGTTGCTCTGCTCCGAACCTGGCGGAAGAGCGAGGCGTTTTCTGAGAAGAAAATGATGTCGAGAAAGGACCAGTTGTTTGAGTGGGTCATCGGCCAACTGGAGCCTGTACTGTTGACTTGTGAGTGTTGTGCTGTCGTCAAGAGCCCGAAAAAGGACAACCAGTATGACGAAGTCAGGAGAAACACAGCTGCGATGCGGACTTTTCTTGCCTGATCAATGACACTACAACTGAAAATGGCTTCAAATTCGGAAAGAAACAACAACGATCGCGCGTGGACCTAGTACCTTTCGTCTTCTTGTAATCAAAAATCAATGAAACTTGAATTCGAAAACTTTGTCCGACAATTTTTTTGTATAATAAGCAAAAGGCCGGTTTCCGTGGGAATCCGTGTCGTCATTGAGTTTTCCTGGTGGTTTTGTGACGTAGACAAATGCGTCAAGCCGCGGCAGTCATGAGCTGCAAAAAAACAAAACACTGTGTGACCCCACGTCTCCGTCAAGTGCTGCGGCTTGACGCTGCGTCCAGCTTCAAACTGCCGTAGTGTGACCGAGGCCTAAGCGGTCAAATATCAGCATATATTGACCGCTTATATTGACCACTTAGCCCGAGGACTTAGAACTTTTCTATCAACTTAGAAAAAAATCAGAACTGAAAGAAGAAAAATCTGAAGCCAAATGTTGGGATTTGAACCCAAACTGTCAGATTCTCAGTCAAAGAACTTGGGGAACATACTGTAAGTGACAACTGAAATCTTCTGTTTATAGAGAAGTGATATCCGATGTAAACGGCATATGTCCATATTATGTACTATTACAATAGTATTCATTTCTTCCTATAAACACAGACAAAACAGGTTAGGTATGCCATGTCGTTTATATTCCTTCTTGTCATGAGTTCTCACGGAGCAGTAAAACCTTTCGAGGATTTCCGCCAGTACCTTGTCTTCGACAGTAGCAAAATCACAAGACAAGCTCTCCTGCATCAAAAAATCGCTGAACACCTTCAACCAAAACTTCGTTGCAACTTTGGTTGACTTAGGAACTGCTGATTCCAAAAGTTTCTTCCTTTCTTCTTCAGAAACGGACGCAAAACGTCCAGTAGACGTTGAAGAAGCCATTACACTCGTAAACCAAAATAAACAACACGAGGAGAAAGTTGAAACACGAGGAGTAAGTTCGAGCATGCGCCGAAATAGGTACGAAAATCCAAAACGAAAATCGGTTTTTATAGGTATAATTTAAATAAAATACATACTTCGTCCTCGTGTTTACTCGAATTATAAAAAACCTCCACAAAACCCTCGGCTTCGCCTCGGGTTTTGTGTCGGTTTTATATTTCTCGTAAACACCTCGGACTCAGTATGTATTTTATAAACAATAGATACATACATTTCTGACTTGTTAGTACAGTTAATTTCGCTAATAACGACTGCGGATATAACGACAATTCGCGAATAACGACAGAATTTCCATGCCCACAGCAAAGTCCCATGTAACTGTAATACATATGATGAGACTTCAGGTATAACGACACTTTTTTGATGCCCCGCCGAGTGTCGTTATACGCGAAGTTGACTGCATGGTAAAATTAGAATTCTGGAAACACACCGATATCCGCGTCACTAATTTTTCACTATTTCTTAGAACCAGGGAGTTTACAATGGATAATGATCGCTAAGGACTGTGGCCACTTTCATAAACTCACTGTTCAAATTTGACTTCGCTCTGGTTAATCAATATTCACATTAGGGCCGGGTTCCACTGCGGCTCCGCGGCTCGGCTGCTCCGCGGCACTTGGCTGCATGCAGCGGAGCAGCGCGGTTCCACTGACACTCGTCATTCGCGGTACCGCGAAGTCAAAAAAACCTCGTGTTCTGGCCTGCGCAACGAAAAAAAATTTGAATTTTAAAATTCTTGCATACAAAACAGTGCAAAGCACGGGAAACAGGTCGAGCCGCGACCGTGGCTCGCAGTTTTTGATCAAGAATCGTAGCAAAAGGTCGCTGTGAGCCGCGGCCTCGCTGCTCCAGCTCGAGCCGCGGTCACTATGGTAATGATGACGTATCAAGCCGCGGATGATGAGCAGCGGAGCCGCAGTGGAACCTGGCCCGTACGCTCTTGTCGTGAAAATAGCAAAGAATAATGTGTGGTGAATATTGTACAGTTATCAGTAGTAACAAATAGCAGATTATTAACAATAGAAAGTCTACTTACTCACTTCACTCCAGTCTTCTGGCAGATATACTTGCATTAGAGCGTTCGGCACACAACTACCACCATCTTTGCCCTCCAATCCTGTGATTTTCCCCAGCAGACGAATGCTACTGAATGCCACCGAGAAATCACCTCCTCTGAATCACCAACAACATCAACAATAGCTGCAACGAGAATAATAGCAGCAACAACAGCAGCAACAATTGCTTATTGGCGATGGTACCATCGTGAGAATAAAGAATTCAAATAGCTGCAACAACAGCAAGACTAATAGCACCAACAGTAGAAACAAGAGCAGCAAAAATAACAGCAGCAGCAGCAACAGCGACAACAGCAACAGAAACAGCAACAACAACAACAGCAACAGCAATAGCAGCAGCAACAACAGCAGCAGCAGAAGCAACAACAACAACAACAACAACAACAACAACAACAACAACAACAACAACAACAACAACAACAACAACAACAACAACAACAACAACAACAACAACAACAACAACAGCAACAGCAACAGTAACAAAAGCAGCAGCAGCAACAACAGCAAAAGCAACAGCAGCAACAGCGACAGCACAACAGCAGCAACAGCAACAGCAGCAAAAAAGCAACAGCAGCAACAGCAGCAGCAACAGCAGCAAGAGCAACAACAGCAGAAGCAGAAGCAACAACAGCAGCAGCAGCAACAACAGCAGCAGCAGCAGCAACAACAGCAGCAGCAAAAACAGCGACAGAAACAGCAGCAGCAACAACAGCAGCAGCAACAACAGCAAAAGCAACAGCGGCAACAGCAGCAGCAACAACAGCGAGAGCAACAACAGCAGAAGCAGACGCAGCAACAAAAACAAGAGTAACACACACACCTGTCCTGTCCTGTCCTATCGAGCCACTGCCACAAGGGTCACGTCGGCCCGGAGGAGCAGAGAAGGAGAATGCCGTCCCACGGCGTCCAGGACACAACGAAAGGTCGCCGGGATTCAGGTCACCTACGACTGTTTCCACGAGACTGAGAGAAGAGGAGAATGCCGTCCCACGGCGTCCGGGACACAACGAGAGGTCGCCGGGATTCAGGTCACCTACGACTGTTTCCCCGAGACTGACGTATGGCCGGGGGAGAACCTGAACAGCGGTGTCTATTCCTGCCCTAGACCGAACGGAAGCAGCAGCCGCAGGACGCACAGTGCGCGCCACAACACGGCTCCACTGCGGCTGGGGACTGAGCCACACACTTGTGACGGGCAAGGCCAACACACACACACACACACACACACACACACACACACATACATACACACACACGGGCAGCGATAGCAGCAGCAGCAACAAAAGCAGCAGCAGCAAGAGTAACACACACACACACACGAGCAGGAACAGTAGCACAGAAAGCACAGCACAGAAAGACAATGGAGTCAGGAGAAATACCACCACCAGTAGCAATATCAATGGTTTCATAATACTTCAGCGATTGCCCACTCGTATACATTTTACACCAGTCACCTGGTCACTGTGCCTGCAGGGTACAACTTACTAGCCTGTTTGACCTTTTTTGGGTGCAGTCCTGTCACTCGAGTTGAACTCGAGTTGAACCTTGGTGTGAAAGTTGTCGCCTGCTGGCGTAGTGACCAGCCAGCGACTTGGGCACGCAGGAGCACGTGGCCGCTTGTTAAACCATGTTCGATTGGGAATAAAGGCGGAACGCTGCATCGCAGCTTTCTCGGACTAAAACCAGTCGACTCAGCGTCCAAAAGACTAAAACATATTGGCTAATCGCGGTCATTCGTGCTTTTATAAGAACGAAATGGCGCTTTTAGTGACATTTTGCATACAAATCCCCATCTAGTAGGGCGCAGCCACCCAGTTTCGGTGGAAGTGCGCGAGTTCGATTGGGATTAAAGTAAGAAGGGAGCGTCTCAGCTTCCTCGGACCACGACCATTCGACTCAGCACCCCGAAGACTACAGCTGGTGAAAAATTGATTTTAGGCTTAACTTCCCCTTTAATGTGAAAATAGCAAACAATAATGTGTGGTGAATATTGTACAGTTATCAGTAGTAACAAATAGCAGATTATTAACAATAGAAAGTCTACTTACACACTTCACTCCAGTCTTCTGGCAGATATACTTGCATTAGAGCGTTCGGCACACAACTACCACCATCTTTGCCCTCCAATCCTGTGATTTCCCCCGGCAGACGAATGCTACTGAATGCCACTCACCTTTGTTTCATGACCGCGGAGGAATCACAGAGAACAGCCAGTACGCTGAGATCTCTGAAAATCTTTCACTGAAATAAAACACAGAGAAACAGAGAAGAGAACACACCAGGTAATGAGTAACAGAAACACAAAATAAAATTAAATAGATTAAAAAATTTTTTTTTAATCTTGTAAGAGTAATTTATATGAAAACACAATAACTGTATTGCAACACACAACCCATAAAACACCGCACAAACTTACTGCAAGGAGAAACAAGAAACGAAGTATTGGTGTGATAATCACTACACAATTGATACCAGGAAGCATGAAACAGCGCAGTTCTGCAAAGCAAAGCGCAGCACCACGCAGCGCAGTGCCGCGCAGTACAGCACAGTGCAGCCCAGCACAGTGCAGCACAGCGCAGCAAAGCAAAGCGCAGTGCCATCTGCAACACCATACATAATGCAAAAGAACCACACAGTGCAGCAAATCATTACTTATGACTAGTCCACACTAGACCGATTTTCGGCCGCTATGGAGTTGTACGGAAATCTGCAAAGATCGGCACGAGTGCTGAAGACGTTGTCGTACAAGTTTCAGACATAGCTGAGACGAGTTTCTTGTCGTGTGCGCTTTCGGCTAGGTACTGGTCGATAACAAAGTAGGCCAATTATTTTCAGTGCTTGCATGTAGTGGATCGAACGGGCCTCCAACCAATCACTGATGGCTTTTCACCATGACAACAGAGAGCCTGGTTACAGACGGTGAACTGGCTGCACTGGATCTCTACTACAGATGTCAGCCTTTTCACAACTCTGACCCTGCACTGGATGTAGCTTGTGTCAAAACGTGTATTTTTTCACTGCCTGGTGTCTTTAAGGCAAGGGTCTAGCTCGGCTGTGTATCACGTGTACACATACGTGTGTGAGCAGACAGGCCTACAACTAGTACAAGCAAAATTGCTCACCGTTGCGTGTGAACAGCTAGTCCGACTCATCCGACACAGTCAACCGTTTCATGTCGGAATCAGTGATGGAGCATGGACCAAAAAATCGGCCTAGTGTGAACCAGTCATAAATATACAACTCTGCAACTGTAATGCAACACACAACAATCTAACCTCTTTTCACTCTCCAGTCACGTGGCTGCTGGTCATGATCAACGTCAGTGCGTAACATCCGTACCACCAGTTTCTGCTCCAACGTCCAATTTACTCTCTGAACTGAGAACGTATCTCATCATGATTATTATTGTACTGAAACTAAAAATAATTCTGGCATGCTATGATGTCATAGTCATGTGATCATGGAGTCTGGTGATGTCATAGTCAAGCTACAACAAAGCCGTGGCCCGTGTGCGAGGAATCGCGGACGATGATGAAGTGACATCGTAGTTATTACGACATCATAGGCATGTGATGTCATAGACATGTGAAGTCATGGGCATAAAATACCATAGTCAAGTGATGGAATAGAAATGTAAAAACTGCCACAAAAATGTGAAATGGTGAGAGAGTGTTCTTAAAAATAAAGTACTTCATCACATGATCACATGTTCACCTTATGAATAGAACGTGCTGAATCACCATTGGGACAGACAAGCCAACAACTTCTACTGAACGAGCAGGCTTCCACACAGCAGGTGTGTGTGGCAAGTGTTTTCACCAACAGACACAACTGGAGTGTTATATATCGTCCTGTCCCACTCTCCCTCTCTTCCTCAACTTCCCTGATCAGTACCATGTGCAGTAGTAACCATTCCAGCAGTGGTTCAACATGACATCACATGACCACCAGCAGTGGTTCAACATGACATCACATGACCACCAGCAGTGGTTCAACATGACATCACATGACCAGTGTGCTATCGTAAGAATGTTCATCTCTGTGTCTAGTGTTTACATGTCTGACAAGCGATAGCATTCCTTCCACTGCGCATATACACGTTATCTTCACTGTTGGTTATGCCCAACAATGTCATCAGCAATCAATCCGTAGTTGACCTGCTCTCTCGCGATGAACATAGTCAAGTAATCTCCATAGCTGATCATTCACTAACTCTGGCTTTGGTACTGAAAGGTACAAGAGGTTTTGACATTCATGTACAGCTGATGCAAACTGCCTACTGCCCTCGTCATTCTCCGCTTGAAAGTCATTCCCATGCAGAAAAACAATTTGGAGATCAGGACAAGAAGACAGAATATCAGCGAGTACCGGAAGTGACTGTGAAGTAAGGCCTGTTCCTGAGACCGCCAGTGTCACCAGTGATTTACACTGCTTCAGACATGGTGCAATGCTGCACAGAAACATGTCAGAAAGATCATTGTCTCTCAGTTCAAGAAATTGAAGGTTCCGGCAGTGTACACGAAGAACGTGTTTGACAACCCAAGTGCTGTGTGGCGTGAGCACTGCACGCGCCAAGGACATGCCACTGAATGGCCGTGCTGTCAGCAGTCCAGAAAGCAGAACAAGACCATCATCACCGATCGGGAAGTAAAACCGGGGATATGTAAGAGACTTACAGTCAGCCAGCACGGTGAGAGCTATGAGAACATTAGTTTTGATATCCTGACAGGACACACTACCTATGGACAGGATTTCCAGGTCATGACATGTGATCACTGCGGGTACCAGCTGAGCATAGCCAGATGATGTCAGCTGCAAATCCCGTAAGGTAAGTTGTCGAAGAGCCGTGTGGTTTTCGCAGATAACACTATGGATACATGCCACAGAACAGTCAGTCAGTGCATTGTTTGGGATAGAGAACACAACCAGCCCATGACAATGAGTTAGACCTATAGTGAGTTGCTCAAAACCATCATCAGTAATCTGACAGTTTCGCAGACGCACACGACTAACAGACCTACTGTGATTTCTCAGTACAGACGAAAGATGATGACAGTCAGCAGGCGAGATAGCCACGTTGGTGAAATCAAAGCCATAATATTCGAAGGCTAGTTCTAGACGAGGTGAAGGTGACTGACTACAGCTGGTCATGTTGTCTGTGTCTGCACTGGGCTGTGCATACACACGACAAGCCAGTAACAACAATAGGCGGCGAACTGGAGTCAATTGTTCACGTATCACGTCAGCTGGCGAATACGACACCCGTGGTGGAACACTCATGACAGAATGTACAGAACAGTCCATCGCAGCTGAAGAAAGACGTTCTGCAGCCTGTGAGTCTTCCGTGCGTTCCGATGCAAAATACTGGTGGAGACAGTTGGATGCATGCGGGTTGATAGACTTCAAGGCAGTGCACAGTATTCTCATACTGGCACGGGGGACTTTGCGACGCCACAGCTGCAAAAGAGCATGAACTACGTCGTACAAAGACGACGAGAAAGAGTGAGGAAGAACTTCTTCAATGGCCTGTGCCACACTCACATTGTCTGGCAGTAGATCTTTAAGAAGACACCTTGCTAAACTCTGCACTGCTGCCTCATCAAGATGCTCACATAGCAACTCTACCACCTCAAGAAGATCATCTTCGGAGCAGCGAAGAAACTTTGTCACATCGCAACATGATGTCAGCTTGTTCACATCCTCTTTATCAGGGATACGCTGTGTGAGAATGGATGCAATCAACGACTCTCTGCTGTCCGCTGTCAGTTGTGATGCAAGAAGACACCAAAATGTGCTCAAGTGACCCGTCAGAGCTCCTACTTGCCTCACTAAATATTCTACATCACTGGCATCAGGATTAGTGGATGCCATGTAAAGAGAAGCAAGACATTCTTGCACTGAAAGATGGCTGAATTGCCATTGAGTGATGGACGGGTATGACAGTGACTCACAAGCTACAAGAACACCAAGTGATCGACTTTCTCTAGAAACCTGCTCTGCATCTAGATCAGAATCACTGAACACTACTTTCTTTTTCATTATCGATACAAAAGCAAAATGACCCAACTCAAGAATTTGCTCCTGCAGCAAGCGTGGCACAGACACCCAGTCTGGATACGCACTCTCAGTGTTCTGTCGAATCATACTCAGTATCAACGACATGAAGATACCAAACAGTGATGAAG